ACATCCTTGAGATTGAAATTAGGAAGTCAAGCTTGGCAGAAAGTGCCTTTTCCCATGGAATAGACTTACTTGCTGGCCCTGAAGGAAGCATTTCTACATTTATGTTTTTATCTCCTTTATCTTTGCATCTCTCCTTTCCTAAAAAACAAACAACTCTTGAGCCTTGTTTCTGTAGTTTCCTTTCCTTAAGATGGAAAATAAATTGTAAGTAGGAGTCCTAAAGTCTTAAATAAGACTTTTACATAAAAACACCCCATGCTGTAGGTAAAATCACTTTAGCCTCCAAAGTGTTTTGCACAAGACCTACTTCCAATTTTAAAAATGGAAGAAGGAACTTGCTGTGGTTGGGCACAACTTCAGTTACTAGTACTTAGGTGTCAGAGGCAGATGGATCTCTGCATCTGAACCCATCCTGGTCTACACTGGGATTTCTGGGGTAACCAGTCTTACACATGAGACACTGAGGCCAAGCCTGGGATGTATTATCCTCCAAAGGCAGAAGGAGCTGTTTTGGTGTGGATCCAGTTTTCTGAGATCCATAGAGAAGATGATTGTGGTGCAGTTTTGAATGTAATGTGATTTAACTATATAAACTGAAGCTAAATGGAATTCCTTTCTGTGTCTAGACCACTGTGTTCTTGGGGGATATCTAGCCCGAGACTTGGCATTCATGAATCTTATGGAATTTGAGTCCAGAGAAATAAAGAAACACACCCAAGACCACACTGAATTAGAGAAAGATTGTGCAATTCATTGTTGGACAAGTGGCTTTCAGCAGAGCCAGGAAGTAATATCTTTGAGTAAAGATAAAAAGAAACAAGTTGAAAAGGTGTATCTATAATAACACACACACACACACACACACACACACACACACACACACACACACACACACACACACACCTCTCAAAAGTAATATTCAATAATCAATTTGACAGCAAATCCTGGATGTGAGAGTTTCAATATTGACTTACAAGGCCAGTTTGTTCATTGAGACAAGGTCTTACTCTGTAGTCTAGGCTGAGCTGAAACTCTATATAAATGAGGACGATCTTGAATTCATAGTAGTCCTTCTTCTGTGGCACCCTCCCACCCAGGTGGGTACTGGGATGACAAGTATGAACAGTCATACCTGGCTTCCTCTCCTGGTTGATTTTGATGAAGCATCTCAGATTGCAACTACAATTTGATTTGGGGACCTGAAATTGCATGTCATTGTAAACCTGTTCCAGCCTCCTCACCAAGAGGATTCAGACCAAATGAGATAATGATCTGGTGGTAGGTGATGTCAGGCATATCCACCTCAGTCAAGACCAAAGGAAGCTACTGCCCCTGGCAGTGCCGTCAGCAACAAGCCTCCCCCACCTTTTTTTTTCTTTTTCTTTTTTGGTATCTCTTTTAGAATTCTTTTTCACAGGATGCAGAAGCCAATGTCAGTGATCTGCCAATGACTGACAATTGCTCATTCCAGCGCCACACAAATATGGTAGAACTGAGAAGTTCCTGAGCCTATTCTTAGGTGTACTTTCACTCAATTTTAACTTATGAAATTTATCTATATACTTAGGTTCCTGGTGGAGGCTTCTAACCAAAAGGCAAACTAAGTAAAGGAAAACAGACATTTTTTTAGTATAGTTGAGACTTCAGTAGGAAATAAAGACTCAAATGACCATTCCTCTTAATTTTATAAAATTTGTTGATTCTGTGCTGAATTATGAAGCCACATTGTAGAGAAGAATGACCTCATAATGGAGAATTATCAGGGGGTGATGGGTAATGAACTGGTGATACCTGCAGAGAGTTGGTTTTTGTGTGCTGATCAGTGCATATTGGGTTATTCCTAGGATTCTGCAAATGTAAATAAGACACTTAGAGGAAACTAAGTGTCCTTCATTTGATAAAGAGAGTCTCTAAGTGTCTACGTCAAGCCATAAAAGGAAAAAATGGGAATAATTTAGTGAATTCTAAGTTTTTTCCCCACTTTTTTAAGGGTATCTCAGATCTTCAAAGTCGTGGACTTTCTACATAACTCAGTACCCTAGAACTCTCATGAAAGACCTCATGAACCTTTCATTTTAATGTGCTTGTTATCACAGAGCATTAAAAAATCAGGCTATATTTAACTCCTTCGAAGTATTCATTACATTTGTCTTAGCAACTTTTTTCTTTTGATTTCCTAAGATGTTTGTGACCAGTCTTTTGTGTCTATAGTCTTGAACTCAACCCTTTCTCAACAGTGATGTCCCCTTGGCTCCCTACTGGTCTGCTTTTGATTCACTCTCCATTTCTGATGAGCGTAGGTAACAATTAGATTTGTTTCTTCACCGCCACTCTCTGGGTTGAGGGAAGGTCATATTCCCTAAGACTAGCTAATGACTGTTCCTTATAATGCTATCCCAGTCAGGAAACTGATTCTGTTTTAGGGAACTGCTCCCATAACATCCCTTTGAAAATGTTTTTTTTCCTTTTATTTTTATTAAGAAATTTTCTATTCACTTTACATACCAACCACAGATTCCACCCTCTTCCCTCTTCCCACCTCCCCCAGCCTTCCCCCCAACCCACCTCCCATCCCCACATTTTCCAAATCAAGGTCTCCCATGGGGATTCAGCAGAGCCTGGCACACTCAGCTGAGGCAGGTCCAAGCACCTCCCCCCTGCACCAAGGCTATTCAAGTCACACCCTAGGTACTGGGCTCCAAAAAGCCTGCCTATGCACCAAGGACAGATGCTGATCACCCTGCCTGGGAGCTCCCCGAACAGTTCAAGCTAAACAACTGTCTCCCATATCCAGAGGGCCTAGTCTAGTCCTATGGGGGCTCCACAGCTATTAGTCCACAGTTCATGGGTTTCTGCTAGTGTGGCTGGTCATCTCTGCACATTTTCCCATCATGATCTTGACATCCCCTGCCCACAGAATCCCTCCTCTTTCTCATTGATTGGATTTTAGTGGCTAGAAAAGGAGCAAATTCTGGATGATCCAGGCAGCAGACAAAAGTTCTTGAAAAGTTATAGAGATTCAGACTTACTAGGAATGCTGAAGATTTATACATAGAAAATAGGGAACACAGAGTGATAGCTGAGGAGTTTGTAATATGTAGATCATGACACATAGGCCATATCTGCTGCTATCTCCAAGCATATGAAATGATTGCCTGATCTTGATTTCCTCAGTGTGAACCTTAGTGGTCACTTCTGGAAGTATAACTAAAGTGTGTGACCTTCCATTTCCATCTCTGAATTTTAAGAAGCTCTGATTGGTTTGACCTAAGACACACGTTCACGGCCTTGTATGCATCTCCATATTTATTTAGTGTTGATAGAAACTACAAATGCAAAGACTTGAGGCATTAGTTTCTTTAGCAGGAAACAAACTCGGCTTTCCTCCAGACAGTGTAAGATGGATCATTGTATAACCATTAGAAAGAGAGCTGCCAAAAATCCTTCCTCTGCCTATCATCTTCTCATTTTCTATATCAGCCACACTTGGCCAACATCCTGCTTCCCTTGTGTCATCCCCATTTCGTTATCACTTTATAGCCCTTTCTGGAATTTTTCTTCTCCAAATTTTTATATGTAGGTAATTTCTCCTCATCAAAAATGTCCTACCTTAAATACCATTTCCTGAACATTCCTCTACTATATTCTCTAAAGAAAATATGCTGGCTTCCCTCAGCTCTGTCAGCCACACTTAACACCATCTTTCACATTTCCATCTTTGCATCAATGATTCAAAAACAAAGTTTTGGGTCAGACATGTTAATGCATGGGTGTAGTTCCAATACTTGTGAAATAGAGGGAGACAGATCTTTGTTAGTTCAAGGTCAACCTGATCCACATGGAGACAAAAAAAAAAAGACAAAACAAAACAAAAACTAAGTATATACTTGGGAAATGGCCCATTTAGGAAAGCACTTGTCTTATATGCTTGAAGACCTAAGGTCTACCATGCAATTCTTTCCATCCAGAATGATGATAAGTGTACAGTTTAGTTGGTATTTAGAAATTAGTAAATGAATCATGGTCCAGGTCTGAAATGGATAGAGACTATGATAGAATCAGACACCTATAGAGAGCTGGGAAGCAAGACCTCCCTTAAATCTGGTATATATTATGATTGCTATGTATGCTTCCCAACAGTGCTCAGCATGGAATATAGCTTCCAATCTCTACCTGAATCTAAATAATGCATGATTGTGAGACACTTTGGAAATATAAAAGACCATGTTGATTCCAACCCTGGCTCCCAATGCCATGGATTATTTTGCAAGTACCACTCTCTGGCCAATCAGACTACATATTTCATGTGATATAGAGATCCCACTGAGAAAATCAACTTTTTAGCATATACCTATTTACGGCAATTTGCAATTGGATCAGTGAACACTGCATGTCTCTACCACATGTACATGTGACGTGCGCTGGACAGTGTTATGTCAGTATCTAGAGTTTTGTCACCAACTTAAAGGAATTTATGACATTTCCAACTATATCTGAAAGGATCAAAAATCACCAAAACATCCCCAAAGATAAGTTCTAGGAATTATGGGATATCAAGAAGTTTAAAGAGGTTACTGGAAAAACAATCTCCATAACCTGCATTTAAAGAGGTGTAGAATAAGGCTGAGATAGACAATGGCTCAATGAGTAAAGTGATTCTTACCCAAGCATTTGGATCTGAGTTTAGATCCCAGTCCTCCACATAAAAACGCTGAGCACAGCAGCATAAGTCTGTAATGCAAGTACGAAGGGAATGGAGAGAGGTGGATCGCTGAAGATTGCTGGCATGCACACCTAGACTAATTCACGAGCTCAGGTTCAGTGAGAGATCCTGTCTTAAAAACTGTGGTTGGTAGAGATTTAGGAAGACATCCAGCATTGACATCTGGTCTTCACATTCATGCCTACACACTTCCATTCACCCCCACATGCATGTGTGCATGCATACACAAACATGTAAATAGTACTCATGCAAAAAAAATGTGTAATAGAAAACTTACATACATATGTGTCACTTGCTGGAGTCCAGCTCCAGTGGGATTCAGGTCTCAAAGAGGAGGTGTGAAGTCAGCGAGGGGAAGGAGGAGATTGACAGGATCTAAGAGTGAATTGGGATTGGCTTTACATTTATTGAAAAAAAATGGCTACAGCTTTTATTCTATATAATTTTACAATAGTTTAGCCACAAACAAGATGGTAAGCAGGCTCAATGATTCAGGGATGAAAGTGGCCATCAACTTAATCACAGCATTTTTCCTGAGACAAAAGCGGTAAGTTCAGCAAGTATCTAAATGCCTATTGTTCTCTAAGGTTCAGTAGCTCCACAAGGCACCCACTTACATCAATGGAAAGACCACAGGAAGGGCCACAAGTTCCTCCTGCTAGCTATAAGGAGTGTGACTCCCTTTAACAAGCAGGGACTTTCCTGACCTTAGGAAAAGGACTTCCTCTGGGGACCAGACATCCACTACAATTTAAGAGCAATTTTGATTCCTCAAGGGGCGTGATGCAATATTTGTGCCATGTAGCATAGTAAGCACTGAGCTGTTTCCTAATTGCATTCCTTTGTGTCTTAGTCTTATTGTACAGGCATATTCCCCTCATATCCTCCCAAAAGGGAAAGTCCTGGTGTCTTACACTTTTTCCATTATACCGTATTGTCCTGATTCCTCTATACTTATTAACTAAACTCTTGCCCTTAATGGCTTCAGGCTCTGGATCTGGATTCTACGCTTTTCATTCTTGGGGTCAGGTATGTCCAAGTAAATCTCTAAATTTCCTGTTCTTGGTGTAATCAGGAGGGCACAATGCAGATTCCTGTGTACAGAGTCTTCACATTATATGGTTCCACAGTGGTGGGGATTTTTTCCAAATAATTATTTTGTTTACAGAGACTGCTATTTTATGTGTTTTCATCCTTCAAAGCCCACACAAAATTTCCCAATGAAAAAAGGCATAAGGGAACTCTTGTAACACTTAGTGTGAATCATTAAAAATGAAAGTAAAAGGGCGCTGGAGAATTGTGACCCACAAAGTTGAAATGCTGGAACTTTGTCAAGCAGCAATAGATGCCATGTGGTCCACACCAATCACTGAATAGATGGCAATCTCCATTTGAAACAGTTAAACCCTTACTTTGGGTCTTTACACCCCCCCCCCCATCTCAAAAGGCTGAAATCATGAAACACAGAAATTCTTGCCAGTTCTGACATCTCATCATATGACTGTGGGCAAGTCGATTTAACCTTATGGACCATGGAATATGGTCGCAGATCACTGTCCAAATATCACTGGTAATGAAGACCCAGAAAACTGCTTCTGTATCATGCACATGGCAATGGATGTTGGTGCAAACAGCTGCATGAATCTGCAAATAAGTTTATTTCTAATGAACATCATGTATAAATAGGACTATATATTCTTCACTACCCTGTGAATTGAAAGGGAAATGTTTTCTGAGGAGGTTTTCCACCTCTCTGAGAATCACTGTCTATTCACTCAGACCAGGTAAACACTGTAAACTTTCATTGTTGAGCTGTACTTGCCATTTTATGGATAGATGATGTTGTAGATACAGGCAATGTCTTCTGCAATCCCCTTCTGACAACCACCTCATCTAGCTTTGGCACTGCGGAGACTTTCCATCAACTTTAAAAATTTTGTTGTTGTTGTTGCTTGCTCTGCAGAAAATCCCTTTCCTTCCTATGGCTTTGCTTTATCTGTGATTACACATGTAAGCCCCTGATGTCACTGCTTGAGATTCCTGATCAGCTTTGGCAGATTGGTTTCCAGGAGAAGAGGGAGGAGGGCAGAGCAAACAGCTCTAGTTTTTGCTTTAAGAGGAAGGCAACTGGGGCCCAGCTGCCAAGTTGATAAGAAACAGAGGATCATGCACCAGCCAAGCAGAAAACTCAGTCTCAAACATTGCTAAGGCAAAGAAAAGTTTAAGACACATGTGTCTAGGACACATGTTCTCAAGCAAGAGAAAGGGAAATAAGAGAAAGAGTTCTTTGTGGGGGCCAATTAGATGACATAAGTCACTCATTTGATAGGCAAACCTGTGTAGCTTGAGGTTTCTAAAAGACACTGTGTCTTTCACATCTGATATAGGACATTTTTATCCTCAAATGTGCATTATCTCATCAGGTAAATGTAAAATGTAGGAATTTTGTCTGAGGTAAGAAAAAACATCAGTCATGCTGAACCCAACCTTCCTGCATTCATTTCCCCAAAAACCCACTGTATTCATTCCACCTAAACACTAAGATTTGCACTCCCCATCCCCATTAGCTTTCAGTGTTTATTTTTGAATAAAGTCATCAGATATACTAAGTGTATCACCTGGTCATTTTCAACAGGGCAAGAAAAGGAAAGAATCAAGAATCGTTGTGTTTAATCTGCATGCTGCACAGTATTTGAAACAGTGAAGCCCAGAGACAATGTCTACCACATGGTATTATGTGAAAATAAAGACCCAAATGGACATGAAAAGATGCATGGTCCCTCCAGGCACAGAGTCTTCATGATGGAGCCCTTCAGCTGGAGGCTGAGGTCACTCTCAAGCATTAGTATTCTATGATTATTCATCTTTCTGACCAAACAAATGATAATTAAAAAATCTGTTCAAGTCACCAACTCACACAGAACAAACACAAAGAGACCCCTGGCCTCCTGGTGTCACCCATACCTTCACTGTAAATTCTTCAAGGAGAGAAGGACTGATACATCATTTAGGCACAGGCAGATGTAGCCTGGAAACCTTTGAACACTGTGTTATTTATCCATTACTGTTGTTATGAACCTTATCTATTCCCTCATGGAATAAGCTTGTCCTCTGGATATAGAATTTTTCAAGCTCTTTCCACATTCCCTGAATTCTGGAGCAGAATGGGATGATCTCTCAGGATTCCTACCCAGGTGATGATAAGATAAAGAGTGGACAATTTTCCATGACTTCAGGGAAACAACCACTTGACCTCTATCCCATTAAACATTTAAAAAGACTGTTCATTGCCACAGTGTCTTATTCCAGTACCTGGTTTTTGTCTAGCTCACCACAAGCTTAGACTGGAAACTTGAACTTTGTGGGGTGTGTATGTGTGTGTGTGTGTATGTGTGTGTGTGTGTGTGTGTGTGTGTGTGTGTGTGTGAGAGAGAGAGAGAGAGAGAGAGAGAGAGAGAGAGAGAGAGAGAGAGAGAGAGAGAGAGAGGGACGGAGGGAGGGAGGGAGGGAGGGAGGGAGAGGAGGAGGGGTCTAAAAAATGAAGATGATAACAGAAATTTTCTCAAAGATGTGGTGAGGATAAAGAAAATGGGATGAATTTACACAGTGGAATACTATTTAGCCATAGAAAGAATGAGATCTTATCATTTTTCAGCAATATAGATGGAACCTGAGACTGTTTCATTGTTAAGTAAGACAAGATAGATCCAAAAAAGACTGTGTTCTCACTAGTAGGAACCAGTGAGTCAACCCTGTAGAAGAATGGGGGGCATATTGACTCACTAGAGACATCAGAATATAGAAAGGATGTGGGATGGGAAAATATCAGTACAAGAATAGAAGAACTCCTGAATTGCTACTGTGAGACAAAACACTCTGTAGTCTGTTTCTAAAGAGTTAGACAGAACATGAAATGTTCAGCACATAAAACTGATTCATTATGAAGGACATAGAGATGTCCAGTGTCACAATCTGACTATCACACATTGTATACAGGTAATTACTTGTCATAATGCACTTTACAAAGATGGATAAATTGAAAGAAATTAATTTTAAAATTTTTTATTTATTTTTTTTTTTTTGGTTTTTCGAGACAGGGTTTCTCTGTGTAGCTTTGCGCCTTTTCCTGGAACTCGCTTTGGAGACCAGGCTGGCCTCGAACTCACAGAGATCCACCTGGCTCTGCCTCCCGAGTGCTGGGATTAAAGGCGTGCGCCACCACCGCCCGGCCTAATTTTAAAATTTTTATAGGATCCTGTTCTATCTTGGAAAGGCAAGATGTGATATATATTATAATTATATATATGTAATATATATTACAAAAACTGAATTTAGTACATTGAATTATATGAATTTATGATTAAGACCAATAAAACCTTCTGCTTTTAACAATCAAATTTGTTGAAAACGATTAGAACTTGGCATAAGGCGTGAGCTATGGAGGCACTGGTCATTCAAGTTGTGTCCTTACCTTGTCTTTTATGGATGAAAGTAATTTTTAAGAGAAGGGATTTTTAACTTAAAGTTATATATGAGTTGAGGTTCATAACTGGTATTATAACTCTATAAGGCTAGTTGAAGAGGTATTTTGGTCCCACTTTATCAGGGAAAACCTAGAGATCATAACTACGAGCTACAAAGTTAGAAAAAAATAGGACAAGTGTGTTACTACTTAATAGGTTACAAGAGCTCACAGTTAGTCAGACATGGCAAATGGTTCAAAGAAAATAGAAAAGCTGTTCTGAAGTTTGTGTTTGGAAGAATTTTATATTTAAGCAAAAATGTGTAATTTAAGCAATTTCTTAGTCAAAATCCTTTTAATATAATAAATGCTTATTGTAGCCACAGTGGTAGTGAGAATAGAGTGAGGAATGCTTGTCCAGGAAGTAAGGAGGGTGGGCTTCATGAAGAATGGGATAGTTTTGTCCAGCCTCTGGAGAAAAAAATCACTTCTAAGATGGAAGGAGTGATGACATGTGGGAAGAAGAGGCAGAGGACTTTAGCTAGAATGTCTCATGTATCTAGTCTATCTTCACCAGCTGAAATCAACAATGACCATCACCACTGGAAATCTTGAGATCTGGACCATCTGAAGGTCTTCTCAAGGTCAGCTTTCTTTTTATTTCTCAGTAATGAGGCACCAAGGCTGACAAGCTTGTAAGTGTGCTCTATGTCTCCTTCCTTCCTTCCTTCCTTTCTTCCTTTCTTCCTTCCTTCTTCCTTTTGCTCTTTCCCTTCTTTCCACTTTTGATGACACAGGGCTACACAAGGCCACTTTCATTCACAACAAACTAGAGTCATCTGGGACAAGGGAACCTCAATTGAGAATATGCAGCTATTAGGCCTACAGGGATGCCTGTGGGGACATTTTCTTG